CATTTTGAATGCCCGGAGCCAACTGTAGGCCACTTCGTGCTCTTCGAGTTCCCAGAACTCCATTCCCGGGCCACATTTTGGATGCCTGGAGCCAACTGTAGGCCACTTCGTGCTCTTCAAGTTCCCAGAACTCCATTCCTGGGCATGATTTTGAATGCCCGGAGCCAACTGTAGGCCACTTCGTGTTCTTCTAGTTCCCAGAACTCCATTCCTGGGCCACATTTTGAATGCTGAGGCAGGCTGATGCTGCGGCCGAGGCAGGCTGAGGCTGAGGCAGGCTGAGGCTGAGGCCGAGGCTGAAGGCAGACTGAGGCTGAGGCTGAAGCAAACTGAGGCTGAGGCTGAGGCAGGCTGAGGCTGAGGCTGAAGCGGGCTGATGCTGAGGCAGGCTGAGGCTGAGGCTGAGGCTGAAACAGGCTGAGGCTGAGGCAGGCTGAGGCTGAGGCCGAGGCTGAAGGCAGACTGAGGCTGAGGCTGAAGCAGGCTGAGGCTGAGGCTGAGGCAGGCTGAGGCTGAGGCAGGCTGAGGCTGAGGCTGTGACTGCGACTGCCGTTGCCGCTGCGACTTTTATCGCGAATGCGACTACCACTGCGAGAACAGCAGAATTCTACAACTGGATTTTCATCTGAATCTTAAGGGGAATGTTTCCATATATGCTTCTACACATCGCTGTTCGGTTGCTTTGCCGTTTTTTTACATATAATAACTTCTCTCTCTCTCTCTCTCTCTCTCTCCCCCTTTCTCTTCATTGTTTCTATTGTTTCTTTTTTTCTTCTCTCTCTCTCTGTGTCTCTCTCTCTCTCTCTCTCTCTCTCGCCCCCCTCTCCGTGGGCTGCTGCCTCGAGTCGCAGGCCCCCCCGCCCGCTCTCGCGCGGGCCCCCCCGCCCGCTCTCGCCCTCCTCGCGCCGCGCCCTTCGCGGGGCGGCGCCGATGGCCGACGAGGGGCGGGGGGGTGGCGGGGGCGAGGGCGGGCGGGCGGGGAAGGGCGGCAAGGGGGGGTCAATTTGGAGACAGCGCTGTCAGACCAGCCACAGTTGAGACAGCCGCGGCCCCCCCGCCCCCCGCATCCGACGCGAGTTCGAACCGCGCTCGCGTTCGGACATGGCGGTTCGAGCGAGGTTCGAACTCGATCGCCAGGTTGGCAGCCGGGCGTGCCCGATGGATTTCCGCGAGGGCTGGGCGCGGCAGCGGCGGGCGTGCAGAATTGGAGTTGCGAGAAGGGCAGAACCGCGAGATGCCCGCGTCAGAGCGCGCTTCGCCCGGGGCAACCGTGCCGCGGCCAGCCCGGCGCCGATTGGACCGGGTCATCTGCAGGCAGACTTGGACGTCCGAGGCCCCATGGTTTCGGGCAAGACGCGCTGCGTCGGCGGTGCGCGGCAAGGATGGGGAGGGGGCGCGGGCGCCCCTCGCCAGATGACCGCCCAGGAGGGGCAATGAAATCGACAGATGGTGAACGAGGAGCGGGCCTGGGAGGATCTCGAGGGGGGGGCGCGGGGCTCAGATTCCGGCCCAGACGGAAAGCTCGTTTACGAAGGACCAGGGCCACAAGTTTGGCCACTTGCTCCAGCGGCTGCAACAGCGCCCGGGGGTGCAGCGGCCGCCTGCTCCTGCTCCGCCACAGTGCCCAGAGGATCCAGCAACGCAGCCCTTGGGCCAGCCGTGGAGGGAAGCAGGTCCGCGGCAGCAGCCGGGAGATGGCGAGGAGGGCGCAGCGGGGGCATAGTGCCGCGTTTTTACTGACAAGCAAGGCGCCTGCGATGGCAACCAGGATGCTATCATTGTCATGCAAGATGCCTGGGCCTGCGGCGAAAAGGATGCCGTCGCGGCCGCAACGGCAGGGGGCGTCGCCAAGTTCCCTGGGGGGCGCGCCTTCCCCAAGGGCTGCCGCAGAGATAGCCGCGCCCGCGGGGCCCGTGGCGCCGCGGCCGCCGCCGGCGCCGATCCAGGTTTCGAAGGCGACCCCGCCGCCGCCGCGGCGAATCCGCCGCGCAATCGTTCATGTTGGGGCCGTGGAGACAGACAGATCGGCTGGGCCATTGGCGGGCGCGTCGAGACCCGGCGGCCGAGCGGTCGGCGGCCGCGTCGCCCGCCCGCGCCGAGATTGCAGAGCGCAGGAATCGGCGGGGCACGGCGGCCATGGGGGCGGGGCGAGGGGCGCCGGGGCGCGCTTCCGAGCCAGTCTCGAGGGCGTCGAGACAGAGGCGGCTGCGACGGACGCGGCTGAAATAGCCCAGCCGAAGCGCCACCCGATCACTGGGCTGCCCCCCGACCGGGCCGCCGAAGTGGAATTCGCGGAACCCAAGCGGGCGCCGCCGTTGGCGTTGTCGAGCCCGCGCGAGGCGACGCCGATATTCCGTGGGGAGTGGGCGATCGAGGGCGGGCGACGTTGAGGCGCGGGAGAGGGGCTTCGGACGTCGGGGCTTAGATGGCGCGCGAGGCGCTCGAGGAGGACCGCCCCGTCTGGCGCGCGAGCTCGGGGATGGGCGCGACGCCCTCGGCGCAGTCGGGCGAGGCGCGCGCTCGCCCCGCCCGAAGGGGGCATCGGGAAAAGAAGATGGAGACGATGGATGGCCGCGAGGCCCAGGTTGCAACGCCGCGGGCGCCCTTCCAGGAGAAGCTCAGCGGGGTCGTGGATCTGGCGCAGGGGCGGGGCGAGCTCGGGAGTGCCGGCGCGAACTCGGCGCGGGCAGGGCCCCATTGGCAACGCGGTTCTGGAAGGGAATGTCTCGGTGGCCGAAGTCGAGAGCGCGGCCGCGGACATGTGCGCGACGGGGCCTGGCGGGCGGGCCGGCGGAAATAGCGCCCGATTCTCGGGTGGCCGCTGACGGCGTTGAAGCCCGGGGTAAACCGCCGCGGCGGCTCGCGGAGACTCGGGCGACCGCGGGGGGGGGGCCGCGGGGCATCTCAGACGCGATCGAGGAGGGTTCCGAGATGCCCATCGCGATCGCCAGGTCTTGCGTGGCCCCAGACGTCAGCAAGTTCGAGAGGTTTGGCACGGGCGTCGCGGCGAACGCAGCTTGACCGCGACGCGCTCTGGGGCGAAGAAGAAGGTTGCAGGCGCGCGTTGACAGCGCTCGAAGAGTTGATTCTTGATCGGCCCTTCGGCCGAAGGCCGAAGAGCTCGTGGGGCGCAAGTTCGAATGGGCAGTTCGCATGGGGGCGCGCGCGGAGTGCCCGCGGGAATCTGTCGGGCTCGATGACTCGAACATATTCCGCGCCGTGGCCAGCGCGCGCCTCGCGCGAGCCTGGCAATTGGGGCCGGGAAGCCCGCTCCAGAAAAGGGGGCCTCAGTGGCCGCGGGCGAACGTGTATTGGGGCTCGCTCCACTGCCCAGGCGCGGAGGAAAAGGGCTGACAGGGGGGTCGGGAGGAGAGGGAGTTATCCCAGTGCGACCCTACCTAGGAGTTGGAGCCCCTAGGAAAGCAGCATTAGTAATAACAGTCAAGCTAAGCCAAAGCTAAGATCAAGCTAAGCTAAAACTAAGCTAAAGTTAATTAAGCCCAAGCTATGCGAACACTAAGCTAAAGCTAAGCTAGAGCTAAGCTAAAGCTAAGCTAACGTTAAGCTGGAGCTAAGCCACAGCTAAGCTAAAACTAAGCTCGAGCTAAGCTAGAGCTCAGTTAAAGCTAAGCTGCAGTTAAGCTGAAGCTAAGCTACAGCTAAGCTACAGCTAAGCTAAAGCTAAGCTAAAGCTAAGCTAAAGCTAAGGTGCAGCTAAGGTAAAGCTAAGCTAAAGCTAAGCTAAAGCTAAGCTGAAGCTAAGCTAGAGCTAAGCTAAAGCCAAACTAAAGCTAAGCTACAGCTAAGCTGCAGCTAACCTAAAGCTAAGCCTAAGCTAAACGAAGCTAAAGCTAAGCTGAAGCTAAGCTGCAGCTAAGACAACGCTAAGCTAAAGCTAAACTAAAGCGAAGCTAAAGCTAAGCTAAAGCTAAGCTAAAGCTAGAGCTCAGCTAAAGTTAAGCTAAAGCTAAGCTAAAGCTACGCTAGAGCTAAGCTAAAGCTAAGCTGAAGCTAAGCTAAAGCTAAGCTAAGCTGGGTGAACCCAGGGGGCGCAACTGTGGGAACCGCGGGGCGGATGCCGGGGGGGCCGCCCGGGGCGGTATCCACTGCCTGGCCCTTTAAGCATGCGCAGTAAGAACCCTTTCCAGGCAAGGCCTAGGTAGGGAATAGCAACAAGAAAAGAATTGGGATCAGGGCCAGGGCGCGCATAGAATGCATCAACAATGACGCAACGCACTTCGCCATCCCAAGCCATTCCCCTGCCGACGGGAAGCCTTTTTTTTTTCTTCTCTCTCTCTCTCTCTCTCTCTATGTATATATATATAGTCAGAGAAAAAGCGCCCAATGGGACTGCCTTTCAGGTGGGGGTCGCGGCTTCAAGCATATGTTCACCTCCATCTGTCGAGCCGCGTGATGTGAGCGCACATATGGTCATACGTGCAATGCTGTGTCCAGCGAGAGCCCTGCTCTAGGAAGGGCGCGCCCCCGACTGGTGCAAGTATCGCACACTTGTGTACATCTTGTCGCGATGTCCAAGTGAGCCTGAAACGAGAACCCCAGTTTGAAGACGAGGCGCCCTCGGACCGTGTGTCTTTTTGACTTTCGGCAACGGTGATCGCGATTGAAGTGATCCAAGGTTTGGCCTTGATGGGCGAGGAAAAACTGATGCTCCGAGGACATGGGCATTGAGACTCAGCAGGCAGTGAAGCGCAGTGCCCCGCAGATCGAGGATTGACTCTGGTTTGTTCAGCTGGATGAAGGCGATGAAGGCGGGTATCTCGACTGCGTGACCGCATGCTTCTTGGCGCCATGTCGCCAGTCGATCAAACCAGTGTAATACCAGACATGAAATTGGACAGACATGTGTTCGACGCGTCAATGATTGTGCTTCCATATGGGCCCAATCTGATGGCCCCGAGGCACAATTCATGGGCACCGCCAGTGTCTCTGGATAGTGTTCGGAGCGTTGCGCCGGAGACCTTGGGCCCCACTGCCGACAGGTGGCCGGCGCCCTTCCTCGACGCGCTCGAGGGTTCGCCCGCGTTCGGCGAGGGCTACTTCGGCAGGCGAGGGCAGTTCGACCAGCCCCAGCCGCGGAGCGTCACCAATTGCGAAGGGCAGCGGGGCGGGCCCGCGGGCGAAGGGGCGCATCGGCCAGGGCCCGCCGCGACGGTGCGCCGACGGCCTGGGAGGTCCACGATCGCGCCTGGGCGTCGCCCGGCGCCGCCCCGTTTACTTTCCAGCCCGCCGCGCCGAGAATCGCAGCGCGCGGGCGCGGGGGGATGGCGAAGCGAGGACATCCCGGCCCGTGCCCGATCATGGCTGGGACGCGCGCGCCCCATGGTTGGGTCTGGCGCCGGGCCTCAGGCTTGGGCCTCAGGCTTGCGCCGGGAAAATATGGGGAACATTTTTATTTGTGTGTATTTGTGTGTGTGTGTGTGTCCTGGGGCCCCTTCAATGTCGTTCGCGTGGCTGGCATCAGTTGCCAGGTGCCTTGCGCGCCACTGGCGCCCGCGCGCGTGTGTCCGTGCCTGCGGCCGGCCGCGCAAGCACACATGTGTGCTCTATCCGCGTATCGAACATGCACCTAGCCATGGCGGGCAGGCCTGCCGCCCCAAGATCCCCGATATTGGACCTGATACCATTCAAGACCATCCAAGCAATCAGCCATAACATTTGCCGATCAGCAAGAACATCCCATATATAGACATATTATTGGGCAAATCGCTATAGTCGTCCTCTTTCTTCTTCTCCTTCTTTTTGTTGAGCCTTGTCCTCCGCGTCCGGCTTCTCATCCTCTTCTCCTCGGAGCGCCCGGAACAGTGCATTCCACGCGTTTCCTTCCTTTTGTCCATCCAGTGTCAGGGGCGAATGCAGCGATGAGGGGGTGAAGGAGAGGAGAGGGGGCATGGAGGGGAGGAGGGATTAGGGAGGGATGTAGGGAATAATTATGCATGATCGTGGCTTAATGCTTGTCCCAGCGTTTGCCTGAAGAGACAATTAATGATGCATCGAGCGTTTGCAGTAATGCGTACTTGCGCTGCCAGTGAATGGACGCACGCAAGTGGTCACGGCATCAGATCCGACGATCATCCATGCCTTGATATGTGGTTTGCACCACCCGTTTGGGGTTCCCGAAGTGGAATCGTCTTGCCTGCTCCGTTGCAAATTGCGCATCCCCATTTGTGAGCCGGGCATTCGGCTGCGAGTTCAGTGTACAGATCCTGCCAGGTCGGCGGCAAGCGGCTAGTTTGAAGCTCGCTTCTCAGGATCGTGCCTGCCAGGCGCGGTCCTTTGACGCGCCTTCCGCCACGTCCCCAGGGACGTCCCGCGTCCCCTCTCGCAGCCACAGGCGTGTCCTCAAACATGCCTCAAATACGGTTTTGTGCCGCCCCCAGGCACACCACCCATACGCGTCCCCGGGCGCGTCCCCCCCCACACACAGCCACAGACAAGTCCCCAGACACGCCCTCGGACATGTCTCCACGCACGTCCTCATGCCACGCCCCCACGCACGGCCCCAGACATGCCACCATACACATTCCCCTTCCACAGGAAACGCGTTCTTCAAGGAGTTCGGACTTGCTATTCGGGTGTTTTGCTGCTGGGGGGGGCATGTGATGAAATGCAATGAGTATTTTCGAACACGCCTTTGGGCGAGACACCACCGCCGCCCGCTGCCTTTCTGGAAACGCCGATGTGGCTTAACGCTGGGCCAAATGTTGGCCAAGTGGAAACCCTTGGAGGAACACTCGTGGAACAAGAGGGGACGGGGAAGGAAAGGGAGGATGATGGAACGGATGAGGAGGCCTCTTGGTGGCCTCTTGTTGCTTCTTGTGGGCCTCTTGGCGTCATCCGGGGTCGTCTTGGAGCCATCCTGGACCGTTTTGTGGCCATCTTCGCCGTTGTGGAGGGCATCTATCACCGTCTTGAAAGCCGTGTACGGCCATCTTGGCCGACAGGGAGGCCATACTGGCAGTTTTGAGGCCGTCTTGGGGCCCTCTTGGGGGCCTGTTGGGTGCTTCTTGGAGGCATGTTTGCCCAGTCTGGGGAAGTTGGAAGCCACCGAGTGCGAGAACGTTCAGATCATTGCGTAACATACGGGTCATCAATTCTTTTTGTCTTTTTGGCGCCCTCCACTGGGGGTTCTTCTTGAGGCCGCGCCGGGCGTCTTGCAGGCGTCTTGGGCCGTCTTGGAGCCTGGGCCGTCTTGGGGCGTCTTCGACTGTTTCGGGCCGTCTTGGAGGCTATCTTGGGCCATTTTGGCGAATGCTTGACGCTTCGCGTATCCCCACCAGGCCATCCAGCAACGATGCCCAGTCGAGCTGCATTGATCAGGAACGTGTAGGAAACGCAGTAGAACAAAGAGCGGGGGGCAGCCGCCGAATCGAAGGTCGGGATCAGCCTAAGTAGGCCCAGGAGTCATCCATACATACCTTCACGGATCATTCGATATGGAAGCTTTTGGCCAGCTTTAGATGGTCCATTGTGGGGCAATGTTGTTTCGGTCCGTACGGGGGCCCTTTTTGGGCTTTGGGGCTCTGTTGGGGGGCATCTTGGGATCCTTCGAACAAGCCTATGGTGTCCTTGATTCACGCTCCCCCGTCGGGGCCCTCAACATCGCCTCTTGGGTCCCTCTTCGGATGCTCCTGGGGCGTGCTTGGGCGCTCTTAGGGGCGTCGTGGAATTCTTATGGACCCTTTTTGAGACTCTCTTGGGCCATCATGGAGCCGTCGTAAGGCGTCATAATCCCATCGGAAGCGAAAAGGCGGAAGCCAAACTCAGATTGATTGTGTAGGCTTGGCCGCATCCGCCGACCCCCCTTGAGTGTAAATTGTATCATCTGGTTTTTGGGAGCGTCCATGGTGATGGTGATGTAACTGAAAGCGAGAGGGTGGCTTTGGGGTGTCTTGGGGTCACCTTGGGCCGCTTGGCGGCTGTGTTGGGCATCTTGGAGCGACCTTGCAGCGGCTCGGGGCCTCGATGGGGGGGGTCAATGAGGGGATTATCGGGCGAAGCAGCCTCACAAGCCTAGCCTAGAGACCCACAGGCTCGGCGGCTTTGCCCCCACCCGCATGTTTTCGTCCTCGCCCTGGCCTCATCCTGGATGCACCTCTTCGCGTGCAACGCGCAGCCGAGGCGCCGAGGTGCAGGACGGCTGCTCGTCTGGAAGCGGGGGGGGGCCCTAAGGGTGCGGGCCGCTCCTCGCACCTCCACGGGTTTGGAGGCCTTCTCGCGGCCGAGGCTCGCGGCTCTGGCGGAACGAGCAGGGGTACAGTCAAGAGACGCTGAAAGAAGGAACAGTTTGGGTACGGACGGGGCTCGATGTTCCTTAGGTTCCTCCAGTGCCGTTCCTCTTGCCCTCCTGGGGCACGGAGGCGCTTCCAGTGCCGAGAAGGGGCTTCGTTCCTTATTTAGCGTTTCTTCTTTCAGCAGCCCGACTGTAAGGGACACCATGCCAACCAAGCTCAGATAACGGGCGGGGGGAAGATGCCCCAATCAGTGCTTGCACTGAAGGGGTCCCAGCGGAAGTTGGAAGATTTGGCGAACGTTTCCTGCCGATTCTGGTCGCACGCTGGGTTCCCCGGTTCCCGGGTTCTCGGCTTCCCGGGTTCTTGGTGATTGGTTCCGGGCCGATTTCGGGTTCCGGGTTCCCGGGTTCCTGGATTCCTGGTCGACCTCCTTATCGATCAAACCATCCCCTGATTGGGGATTTTCTGTTGTGTAATGGGATAGAAAGGAGGAATAACGGATTAACCAGCGATATCGTGTGCTCCCGAAGTGGACGCGCTTTCCGTCCCCATGCTGGCGGGTCGAGTTACCTGCGGCCCATCCCGCCGCTGTGCCTGGGTCGTGGGCGAGGCCTCTTGAAAGGCAGGTTCATTTGGGGGCCTCTTGGTGACCTCTTCGGGGCCCCTTGGGTCCTCATGGCGGCCTGCAGGTAGTGTCGGGCGCCATCTTCGGGTGCAGGGCCTCCCAGTTGTTCAGTTGCCCCTTCGAGTTCCCCTTCTGGGGCCCATCTTCCCATATTGGGGGCCTCTTAGCAATATTTGGGGGGCTCTTGGATTTCTCTCTGGGGCTCGGGGCCGTCTTGGGGCTCTGTTTGCGGCCTCTTGGGTGGTCTGGACGCTTTCGAAATCGAACAGGAGAGCATGCGATCATCACGCAAAACACGCATCTGTTTCTCAAAATAGGCTTGCCCTATAGGAGTCCTAGCTCATTCTATGTAATTGGTCTTTGGGACCCCCCCTCCTTTTTCCAATGGCACCACCCTAATTTCCAATGCCCCCCCCCTCCCCCCCTCTTTTCCAATGGCCCCCCCCTATTTCCAATGACACCCCCCAGCGTGCTTGCTCTTGCTTGCTTGCTCTTGCGTGCTCGCTCTCGCTTGCTTGCTCTTGCTTGCCATTGCTTGCTTGCACTTGATCGCTGGCTCTTGCTTGCTTGTTATTGCTCGCTTGCGCTTGCTTGCTTCCGCTTACTTGCTTGCGCTTTCTTGCTTTTGCTCCTCCCGTCCTCCTCCCCTCCTTTCGTCCTCCTCCCATTCTCCTCTCGTCCTCCTGTCCTGATTTGGGCGTCTTGGGCCGACCTCCATGGTTTCCAAGACGACCCACGAGGCAACCAGGACGGTCCATTAAATCATCTTAGAGTATGTTGGGAACTTTGATTCCGAACCACGCTCCCAAGCCCTCGGGACAGTCACGACCCCAGACGAACAACCGCCCAACTCTTCTGGGACGCCCATGAATTCCGGAAATGCATGGTCTGTGCATGGGCAATCCTTAGTGCAGAGATCTCGAAGGGACATTGGGATTCTTCACTCAATGCCTGCGGCACGGTGGCGGACGAAGGATGATCTGGAGTTGGGGACGCGCTGTCTGTCACCAGGCGCGTTCCAATCATTTGGATGTGTTGTGTCAGGGGGGTCGTGGCATGTGTGCAGAGCCGATGTCAGGCACTGTTTGCGGCTATGTCATGGTGAGCATGTCTAGCAGAACGCTTGAAAGTCCTAAAATTATCTGGCTTGCTGAACTGGTTTTCCTCCGACTGGTCGACTGGGTGCTCGCGTGCTGGGCATCGCTCCAAGAAAAGGCGTGCGAGTGTACCACAGCAGCAATGATCAGTATGCGGAAGGTGCGCATGAATGCTATGTTTGCGATAGCCAGCCCCCTGCGGGACCCCCTGGCCGTGCCAACGCAGCGCCGACATTCATGCCTGAGGGTTGTACCAAACTCTCCCTACGAGGTTCAGCAGTTCAGTACCATTGGAGGAGGAGGAGGAGGAGGAGGAGGAGGAGGAGAGGAGGAGGAGGAGGAGGAGGAGGAGGCGGAGGAGGCGGAGGAGGAGGAGAAGGAGGGGGAGGAGGGGGAGGGGGAGGAGGAGGTGGACGAGGCAAAGGTATAGATCAGGGTCCCCGAACCCGTTGCATTGGCAGCGCCTGTCGAGCCGCGCTCCCGCAGCGAGAGGGCCTCGAGAGGGCCACCCTCGGCATCGCCCCGCAGCCGTTGTCGGCTCCAGGAGCGCACGCACGGCCCGGTCGGGGACGCCCCCCCAGCTCCACGGAGGGCGCTCCCCCCCCCGCGCGGCCCGCCCGACGCCTCCGCACAGGCAGGCGAAGGCCCGAAGCCCCCCCCCACGCCGGCCCCCATGGGCGGCGGGCGCGGCTCCGCCGCGCGCGCGCCGCTGGCGCCGGCGGAGAGGCACCCGGGCAAGGCCCCCGCGCCGCCGGCCGCCGCGCGCGCAGGGGAGCCCCCGCGCCGCAGGGGCGGCGGCGGTGGGAGGGCCTCGCCCGCGCGGCGGGAGCGCAAGCGGCAGGCGGTCGGCCTGTGATCCACCACCACCACCACCACCACCACCACGAAGTGGAGGGGGAGGGGGTCCTCCTCCCCCTCCATCTCCTGCCCCCCTCCAACTCCTCCTCCTCCTCCTCCCTCCTCCTCTCCTCTCCTCCTCCTCTCCTCCTCCTCCTCCTCCTCTCTCGTCTTCTTCCTCCTCCTCCTCCTCCTCCTCCTCCTCATCCTCATCCTCCATCTCCTGCCCCCATCCAACTTGTGGTGGTGGTGGTGGACAACAGGCCCAGCAACAGGCGCTCGTGGGCCCTGGGCCGGTGGAGGCCGGCCACGGGGCGCGGACGGCCCGGGGGACCCCCGCATCGAAGAAGGAAACACCGCACAGACTTTGGCGATTCGCGCAGTTTCTTTGATCCTGGGGCCCCCCCCCCTCCTCCCCCCCCTCCTCCTCCTCCCTCCTCCTCCTCCTCCTCCTCCTCCTCCTCCTCCTCCTCCTCCTCCTCCTCTCCTCCTCCTCCTCCTCGGCGGCGCCCCGGCACCGCCCCTGCGCGCTCCGCGCGCTGGGGAGGGGGGTCCAGCGCAGGTCCAGGAAATCCGCTCGGAGCGCCAAAAGTTTGTGCTTCTGGCGCTTTGTCTTTTTCTACTGCAGCCTCCTCCTCCTCCTCCTCCTCCTCCTCCTCCTCCTCCTCCTCCCTCCTCCTCCTCCTCCTCCTCCTCCTCCTCCTCTCCTCCTCCTCCTCCTCCTCCTCCTCCTTCTCCTCCTCCTCCTCCTACTCCGGGGCGCTGGCCCAGGCGAGGGCAGCAACTTCCCCTGGGGAGGCGGTCGTCGCGATCGCCGCCGCGTGCGGCCCGGAGGTGGCGCCTGGGCCCGATCTCGCAGCGCCCGCGGAGTGCTCAAAGCTGGCGGCCCGCGCGGGGCCGCCAGTTGCTGCCTACAAGGACGTCGAGTTCGAGGAGGGGGGCGACGGGGAGGTTGCCGAGGCGGTAGAGAGGGGCGAGGTTCTGAGGATGGCGCTAGACATTCGTGGGTGCCGGCTGCTGCAGAACGCGATCGAACTGTCTAGTCAGGAGGTGCAGCTGTCGATCACCCGTCAGCTCCAGGGGCACGTGAAGGAGGTGTTGGAGTCCCCCCATGCCAATCACGTCCTGCAGAGGGCGATCGAGTTCATGCGTCCCTCGTCCGTGAGCTTCGTTCTGGAGGAGCTCAACGAGTGTGGTCCAGCAGCCGACCTGGCCCGGCACCGGTATGGTTGCCGCATCATGGAGAGGCTCATCGAGCACTTCCCGCTGGGGCACCTCGAACCGCTCATAACCGACATGCTCAACGAGACGTGGGACTTGAGCAAGCACCCCTTTGGGAACTTCGTGGTGCCGCCTGGCTCCAAAGCTAGGGGAACAAAAAGGGACATAAACACAAAAACTCGGAGGTCCGCGCGGACCTCCGAGTTTTTGTGTTTATGTCACTGCCTGTTCCCCTAAAAGCACGCCGTTCTCGGCACTCCACGGCATCCTTCGTTCCTCCACGCCTCGGGCAGCCCAGGCCTCCTCACGAGAGGGCTGCAGGCATCACCGTGCGCCTCACGGGAGGTCCGCGCGGATCGCCTGGAGGATCGGCGCTCAGACCCCCTCCCCGGCGCGCGGAGCACACAGGCTTCTTTTCCGCTCCCCCAGCCCGCGTCGCCTGCTCTCCGCGCCGCGCGCGTCTCCCGACCCGCCGCGCTGCCCCCTCTCCGCGGTCCTCGGGGCGGGGCGCCGGCTGCGTGCCCGCCGCTCCCCGCCGCCGCTCACCTCCTCGGAGGCCCTCGCGTCTTCCACCCCGTTGCCCTCCCCTCCCCTCGCGGGGCAGCGCCAGGGTGGGATGGGGGCTCCGGGGGGGGAGGAGGATGAGGAGGAGGAGGAGGAGGAGGAAGAGGAGGAGGAGGAGGAAGAGGAGGAGGAGGAAGAAGAGGAGGAGTAGGAGAAGGGGAAGACAGATGAGGAGGAGAAGGAGAAGGGGAAAGCACCCTCCGAAAGGCGAGGTACTGCACAATCCCCCGTTCTCTTTTCCTCCCCGTCTCCTCAGTGGGCAGCGGTAGGGTGGGATGGTGGCTCAGGGGGGGATGGATCGACCCCCAACCGCCCATGTATCGCCGAGAGGGGCCTGATAGCCCACCCCGCCCAGGAAAGCGCGGACTCGGTAAAGGGCGTCCGATCGCCGATCTATCGGCGGGGTATTGACGATTCAAGCTCGATGGTCCCCCCCCCACTTGAGTGGGTCCCACCTGTCGCTATCGTTGCCCCTCATCCCCTCCTCCCCTCCCCCCGTCCTCCATTCCTTTCTTACTCCCTTCCCGTATTTCTCCTCGTCGAGTATGCGTTCTAGATTGGTGTGGCCCTGCAGGTGCAGCACCTGCTGGAGCACGGGACGCAGGACCACAGGCGGCTGATCGTCGATTGCTTGTTGAAGGAACTGGTCAATGTGTGCCCCCACCAACACGCCGTCAACGTCTTGGACAAGGCGTGGTTGGGCCCAAGAGACGATGGGGTCTGCTGTGGCACGGGCTCGAGCGCAAACCTGGCGGGGCCGCTCCGAAGAGGTGTCGCGCTCAAGCTTGCGCTGGGAACCCGAGTCCCTCAGAGTTCAGACCCTAGTCCACGAAGCCTGTGTCTCACGATCGAATGACGCGACTTCCTGCTACATGTGCATATATCTACATACACATATCTCGAGCCTTTCCGATGCCCCCAAGTCATTCTAGGGTGAACTCGAATCAAAATCTTCTCTGGCTGGAAGCGCGCGGTCTGAATCGATTGGGGGAGTTTCGGCTGCGCTCGCAGGACAACCGCTCCACCTTGGTCGGCTTTCGTGATGCGCTTCACTTGGAGAAGCACAGACTAGTCATATATGCATATATATATATATATGTATATATGTGTATGTATGTATGTATGCATGCATGCATGCATGCATGCATGCATGCATGTATGCATGTATGTATGTATGTATGTATATGTGTATGTATGTATGTATGTATGTATGTATGTATGTATGTATGTATGTATGTATGTGTGTATGTATGTGTGTATGTATGTATGTGTGTGTGTATGTATGTATGTATGTATGCATGCATGTATGTATGTATGTATGTATGTATGTATGTATGTATGTGGTATGTATGTATGTATGTATGGTATGCATGTATGCATGCATGCATGCATGTATGTATGCATGCTGCATGCATGCATGCATGTATGTGTATGTATGTGTGTATGTATGTATGTATGCATGCATGTATGTATGTATGTATGTATGTATGTATGTATGTACGTACGTATGTATGTATGTATGTATGTATGTATGTCTGTATGTATGTATGTATGTATGTATGTATATAAATGTATGTATGCCAGGGCAGCCACGAGTCCAATCCCCCCTCGCCGTCCCCAGAGGCTTCCGGAGGCCCAGACGCGCCAACAAAAGCAAGTTGGCGACGAAGAAACAGAACGGGTCCGACCGCGCTGACACTCGCGCGCAAGCTTCCCGCGTAAGGGCCCGCGCCAGCGCCCTCGTCTCCAGCGAAGCGTGTTTCGCGCGGTCGGCCCACGTAAGCTGCGGCGTCAGACCGCCATGCCATCTCGCGCAAGACCCGTTTCCGATCGTCGCTCGGGTGACTCGTTGTCTCTCCTTCTCTCCTGTCCTCTCCTGCCACGCCCTCTGGAGATGTTCCGGTTCATACGCACGGTCTTTCTGTTTTTTGTTCCGTCGCCATGTTGGCTCAAGCCGGTCTCGGACCCCTGGGTTGCCGCGCGCCTCGCTCATGGCCGGCCCGGGAACTGCTGCTTGAGAAGCATGGCGCGGGAGGGTGGGGGCGTTGCCCGTCCCAGGCGCTCGCCCGGCGAGCGCAAAGCTGCTCGCAGCTGGGCCCGACACTCCGCGGATCGGGCCGCGCGCAAGCTCTCCGAAGAGCTGGCCCCCGTCGAGTCGGAGCTGGACGCCACCGCCGAGGCGCTGGAAGGGCGGATGGGAGGCGCGGAGGCCGCGGGGCGTGTGCGCGCCATCCTCCCTGCGCCCACGGCGCGGGCGCTCTCCTGGTGGGCCCTGCCCGGCTGCGGAGGAGCGCCGCCGTGCCCTCGGCCGCCGTGGGCGTCGAGGCGGCGGCGGCCAGCGACGGCTGCGCGGCGACGGGCTCGCAGGGGTTCGCGGCCGAGAGGCGCGGCGGGAGGCGGAGCCGCGTTCGGAGGTGGAGGGCGCCTCTCTCTTTCTGCCGACGCCGTGCCGCTCGCGCCCGCGTCTCGGGCCGGACGAAAGGGGGGGACTGGTAAAACAGGGCTAGGATCGGGATAAATCGCTCCAGAGCGTTCCGGAGTGCTCTCAGAGCGTTCCGGAACGCTCTGGAGCGGCCGCGGCGCCCAATATATCTTCCAAACCCGCCGATTCTCAGAGATTTCGAGTTATCCCGATCCGATTTTGTCCCGTTCTTCGCGTCGTTTTAATTGGGAAAGGGGTGGTTACGAAATTTGCTGCATGCAGCTGGTTTCGGCCACACCGAGGGGCCCATTCCTCGATACATGGGCGCCTCCCGGCGCCTGGAGGCGCCGGGAAAATCGGCTACGGGAGCTGATTCTCACCCCCCCACTTTGCTATCCCCCCCTTTCGCCCGACCCGAGCGTCCCATTTCGCGCCTGGCGAGTGGGAGGCCTTGCCGAGCCAGCCTTCTCGGTCGCATCGAGGTGCAGTCGCTCGTGCCGGACGCCGAGCTGTCGGCCGAGGTGGCGGCGGCGCCCGTGCGCCGCGCAGCTCACGGCGGTACTGCCAGACCGGGAGGAGAAGGGCATGGAGCAGAAGGCGTCGCTGCCTGTGATGATGAAGCAGCCGCAGATCTCGGAACCCTTCGACGGCGGGATGGAGATTTCCGAGGCGGATAAAGCAGGGCGTGGTCGAGCTGATCTGGACGGAGGTTCGTCGCTGCCGTGCCCTGCGGCTGTGCCGCGGGTGCCTTGCGGGCTGCCGCTGGGCCCTCGTGGAGTGCGCCTCGTCACCCCCGCACTCGTCGACGACGACCAGCCCGATGCCGTGGGCGATGACTGCGACCCGCTCGACGCCTTCGACTTAGGCGGCTTTCGATTATGAGTTCATGTTCAGCGTGCTGCCCTTCCTCGGTAGGTCTCAATTCGCATCTTTTTTGTGGTGCCGTAGTTTGCCATGGGATTCCTTGGCAGGGGTGTGCATGTCGGAGTATCGTCTCAGCTTTAGCGCTCTGTGCGATGTGAGTGCGAATCGTTTGTGCTTCTGCCGGAGGTGTTTCCCACCATCAGTTTTCAAGGCACTTGCATGTCCCTCGCTGCTGGCACCAAGGCCGACGCCAGCACCAAGGTCGACGCCGACACCAGCACCAGCGCCAGCGCCGACACCTACGCGAAAGCCCGCGATGGCGCCGGCGCCAACACCAGCGCCTACACCAGCGTCGACGCCAGCACTGGTTCCAGCACGAGCGCCGGCGCCTGCTCCGGCACCAACGCTGACGCCTACATCGGCACCGAGGTCATCACCGACGCCAGCACCTACGCCGACGCCTACACGCCAGCGCCAGCACCAACGCCTACATGAAAGCCCGCTATGGTGCGGGCGCCAACGCCAACGTCTACACTAGCGCCGATGTCATCACCGACGCCAGATCCAGCGCCGATGCCTACATGAGCACCGACGCCAGCATGAACCCCCGCTATACGACGCCAGCTCCGACGCCTACGCCGAGGCGCCTGCGGCGGCACCAGCGCCAGCGCCGACGCAAGCGCCGACTTCAGCACCGACGCCGGCCCCTCCAGCGCCGACGCCTACATCGGCGTCGACGCCAGCCTGAACGCATGCGATGACGCTGCCACCGACGCCAGCGCCGACGCCGGCGCCGAAGCTGGCGCCGACGCCAGCGCGAACGCTGGCGCCTGAACTGGCCCCAACACTTGCACCTGCACCAGCGTAAATCATCGCCGACGCCAGCGCCGAAGCAGGTGCTCACCGCAGTACCGTCGCCAGCGTCGACGCCAGCATGATTGCTTGCGCTCGCGGCGGAACCAACGCCAGCGCTTGTGCCTGCGCCGATGTCACAGCCGACGCCAGCATCATCGCCGACCCCTACACCAAATCCGACGCCAGCACCGACGCCAGCACAGACGCGGGCTCTTACGCCAGCGCCCACGCCAGCATCGACGCCAGCATGAACCCCTGCGATTGCGCCGGCACCAACGCCGGCGCATGCGCCAGCGCCGGCTCCGGCGCTAACGTCATCGCGAACGCCGGCGCCTGCGCCGGCACCAACAGCCGCAGCTAGGTGGCTGGAGCTATTGGGCCGATGTTGGACCGCAGCTAGGTGGCCGGAGCTAAGGGGGCAACTCCTGCCCTCCTTACACAGGGCGCATCAAAATGTCACGGAGACGGTGCGCGTGCGCGCCAGCGCTAGCACCAACGCCAGCACCGACGCCAGCACGATCGCCGGCGCCTACTCCAGCGCTGCCACCAGCACCGACGCCAGCATGAACTTTTTGTGATTGCGCTGGCACGGACGCCAGCGCCTACGCCAGCGCCGACGCCCGCACTGACGCCAGCACAAGCGCTGGCGCCTGCGCCGGCACTTGCGCGGGTACTAACGCCAGCGCATACACCATCACCGATGTCGTCACCAGCGCCAGCACCAACGCCAACGCCTACATCAGCACCGACGCCAGCGCCGACGCCAGCCTGAACGCCAGCGCTGGCGCCGGCACCAGCGCCGCCGCCTACGCCAGTGTCACCGACAGCGCTGATGGAAACACGGGTGGGTGCCGGCGCCTACGCTGGCACCAACGCCAGCGCTTGCACCAGCACCGACGCCATCGCCGACGCCAGCACCAACGCTGGCGCCAGCACCAACGCTGGCGCCAGCACCAGCAGCGACGCCAGCGCCAACACCAGCGCCAACGCCAGCACTGACGCCAGCACGAACGCTTGCGCCTACACCAGCACCATAGGCAGCACCGATGTTTTTACCGACGCCAGCACCAACGCCGACGCCTACACCAGCTCCGACGCCATCGGAGTGTAGCGCAGAGGGAAGTAATGTTCCAGAACCCAGCGCGCCCAATCAATGTTGGAGTCCGCACAGGTTTGGCGCCCTCAGGGCAACTCGCTTGGCCATTGGATGCAGATGGACCCTGGGAGCGTGACGTGAGTCGCTGGTGTTGTGGCCCAGTGTCACTAGGATTGGAACGGATGGGTGAGCAGCTAGGAATCGGCTATCGCGCAGGAAGGCCGTTCCTGGGCGATTGTAGACGGCAGTTGTAAGGGCAGTTACGATCGGGACACCAAGTTGCCGGGCATTTCGAGCCCGTGTAGAAGGCGCGCTACGTCTTGAGCTGTCCGATGTCATATCTTGGGCGGCCGTCTACGAGAGTTTCGGCCCTGACCTTCTCCTGCCCAGTTCCCACGGCAGCGCCCGCGCTGCGTCCTTGCACAGACGCCGACATTGGAGCCGGAGATAAATTGACTGCCGATTGTGCCGAGTACGCGTTTGTCCTTCCGTGGCGCCCACAGCGACGCGAATGGACTGAGCAAGATAATCACTGTGTCGGACATGTGTTGCGCTTACGGAATGGGCCAGACGGCTTGCGCAGACAGCAGCCGTGCAGCCACATATGCGAATGGTCGCACTTGCGAATCAGATGCATCCGAACCATCGTGGTGCTCATCGGCACGTACATATGACGATCCATATTTCACAGCGTGGGACATGTGCTGTGCTTGCGGTGGTGGATAGGTTCTCTGCACAGGCATTGACCAATGCGCCGCATATCGACAGAATGCTGGCTGCGTCGGCTATGCGTCCGATCCGTTGTTGGGCTCAACGCTAGACGGTCCATTGTCACGATACAGTACTTACATCGTCGGACATGTGTTGTGTGTTGCGGAGGTGCTTGTTGAGACAACGACAATGGAGCCACATATGCGTATTGTATCAATTGGTTGCGGCTCTCCAGGAGGTCTTGGTTCGCGATCAGGACTTGCTCTGAGGGCATCTGGGCGAGTGTGCGCCCCTTCCTCCCCCTGCCTTTCCTCTTTGCTCCTTCCCCCCTGTTCCCGCGAATTGGTGTCGTGGCGCGCATCGCGCGCATGTCGCGTGCTTGAATGATGTACACAGCAACTTCATGACAGTGCACATATGGAGAATGTACTTCCTTGATTGCTTATCTTTCCTCCTCCCTTCTGCTCCTTTCTTTCCTGCCTTTACCTCTTCTCCCTCCTATCCCTCAGCTTTTTCCTCCCTGACCTCTGGCTCCTCACCTCCTCTACCTCCTCTTCCTGCCGTCGCCTTCCCGGGGGCGTGATGTCAGCGCCCTCGGGGGGCCTCCTGCCGTGGCGCTCCTCCAGGATCGCCTGTCTGATGGCGACGTTCCCCCAAAGCAGGCCGGCATCCACTTCTTTCCTGCGTTTCAGGCTGGTCGGCCAGAGGAGGCGCCGCTGCAGCGCATCTTGCGGTCGACCCAAGGGCCTGGTCTCCGCCTCGCAGCGACAGACCACGTGCTCAAAGGCGGGCGCCTCGCTCGTCCCACAGCGGGGGCAGTGCTCCTCAACTGCGGCACGCCCGTGTCGTCGTCCTCCTTCACCACCTCTTCCCTCCTCTCTGCCTTCCGCTGCCTGCAGGTCCGCCAGGGAGACGAATGCTCCGGACATCACGCTGGCCGCGTGCGTGCTGACCTCTGCCAAAAGCCTCGCGGCCTTGCAACGCCGCTCGTCGTACTGCTCGAACCGGCACAGGTACGAATCGATGCGGTTCTGCTCCCGCCACCTCCCGGAAAGGTTCGCGCGCCAGCCTCCCAGGAGCACCTGCTCGAGGAGCCCTCCCCGAGCGCGTGCATCGCGTGCATGGGCACTGCGTGTGGCCCCCTTGGTGTGCTCGCTGATGGCCGACCCTGGATACGATCCAGGCCCCCCACTCTTGCCAGCCGTCGCGGTTGCCGCGCGCGCTGCCGGGGGAGCGCCCGCCCGCTCTCGCCCCTTCAGATTTCAACTATTTCGTATTTTTTCGTTGGCGAGTGTTTACACCCAGCAGGTATCGTCCTTCTCTCCTCGCCCCGCTCCCCGTTCTCCCTCTTCTCTTTCCCCCGCTGCGCGGGCGTCGTCGTGTCAGGCCGGCTTGCGCGCGCGCGAGAGTTTACAGTCTGTATTCGCCGTTGGCCGTTGCTTCCTTGTCTTCATGCCCGGCCCGAGCCCGGGGCTACTGACATTAGATCGTTGTACCTTGGCAGTGGTTGTTCGCTGTCCTCAGACTCTCCCTCTTTCGCCCGCGGCTTTTCGCTTTGGCCCTCGGCCTGGTTTCAACAGCGTTGATCCTGGCAGCCGGTTTGGTAAGCACGCTGCCCACTCCCTCTTCTTGCACGGTCTCACCAGCCAGTTGGCAGCCAGTTACGGTATGCTGGAGTCCCCTTCCCATCAGTTGGGATGATGTCAGCTTTCACCATCGTGTGTTCTTTCATGGAAACAATGTCCCTCACTGCTCGTGTTAGTTCAGTGGCGGTGAAGACGTGGAGGTAATAATCTTTTTAATACGTAGGCCTAGAGGTTGACACCAACACCAACATCGGCGTAGTGCCTCCACCAAGGGAAGATTATTCCAATATCGGTGATGGTGGTGATATTCTTGCTTCCTAGGTGGCCGAAGTATTACCACCAACACCGACATCTAGGATCATCCTCCCCTGGTGGAGGCAACACCCTGTGTTGGTGTTGGTGTCAATTTCCACGCCTCCAAGATGCCTTCTTTCTGCATTGGTTCCGGAGCGTTTCATCCATATTTTCCGCCTGGACACGGCATGAGGCTGCGGCCTCCTGCGCCCTGCCCAAAAAAGACCCCGGCACACTGGCGTGCCCGCCTCCGGCGCCCTCGCTCCGCTTCGGCCCTGTCCCGCCCTTCCCCCCGTGGCCCGTGGGGTTTCGGGCGTGCGCCGGCCGAGCACTGGATCGATCGGAGTGTGTGTCTGCGTGTGTGCGTGCTCGGCACCGCCTGTTTCCGAGGCCATGCCTCCTCTCGGCCTCGTTCTGAGGCTGCGCCCCCCTTTTCCTCCCCCATCTCTGCCTAATTCAAGCTTCGCGCGGCCCGCTTAGCTTCGACCGGAAGAGGTGCGCTCTCGACCCGCGGATCAACAGTGTGTGTGTGTGTTTGTGTGTGTGAGTGTGTGTGTGTGTGTGTGTGTGCGTGCGTGGGTCTCGCCGCCCGGCCCTGCTGCTTGGACGCAGCTCGCGTGCTCTCCTTCGGCATCCCCGCGCCGGCTTGCACGGTTTGAGACTGCTCGTTTTGCCCCACTTCGCGCTCCCATCTCTTTCGCATTCGCGCCTCAGTTCGGCTCTGGTGCGTCGCGCTGCTTGCTGGCCCACGTCTGGCCGTCGCGGACCAGTTGGCGCCCGCGGACTTACAAAGTGTCTCGCCTTCCCGACAGGAAGCTGGATGCACATCGCGCGGCCGCGGCAGGTCTGGACGAAAGCTGGATACACATGCGCAAATGTATGTTCAAGTGTTCGGCCCTCTCTGGTCGTGTAGGCAGGGCTTCCGCACACGTATCTAGCGCGTGGTCTTCAAACGTTTCACATGTGAAGCCAGCCTCGTGCATGTTCAGCTTCCTGGCAAAGGATTTGCCAGCCCCACTCAGCGCGGTGGGTTCGCGCCGGGTTGACGCGTTGGCGACCCCACCACGGGCATTCAAGGCTCATCGCCGCCAGTGGCCCACAATCGGCCAATATGGAACGACCCGCGCGATGCGCTAGCCCCATCCCCTTCATCTGATGATACGATCTGCTCAATACGCGGCCCCACAGTTCCCGACCCTTTCCCGTTGGCCTGCTCCCAACCCGGATCCATTTTTCAGGGTCCCTAGGTGGCCCCGCGAGGCCGAGACCGAGGACCGGCGGCTGACAAGTTCGGATCAACGGAGACCCTGGGCCAGCGTCTTTCCCGGCAGCCAGCCGCGGCCTGGTTAAGTCGGGGCCTCCCAAGAGGTGTTGCGGCCACAGCACATGGTGGGTCAAGTGAGGATTCGGGGTCACCTCGCGGTTTTGGAATTGGGGTCGTTCTCGGAGGATGTCTCCGGCGACTGGGGCTTCAGGGTCCCGAAGATGTGCTGTGGCCTTTTGGGATGTCGAGGTCACCGCACGGTTTGTCACCACACGTCTGTCGGGGGAGGCCGCGTCCGTGCGCAGGAAGTCCGCACGGATTGCTCGGACTTCGTTCGGGCCTGCTTCGTCCGGACGCAGCCTCTCCTGATAGGATGCCGAGCCCGCGCGGCGGAGTAGCTCAGTCCGCACGGAGGGCTCGGCCTCCGCCTGGGCCCATCCCGTCTGGACGCGGCCTCGCCTGGCAGGAGGCCGAGTCCGCGCGGAGTAGTAAGTCCATCCCGTGCGGCGAGACTCCGTGCGGCGTGCTCGGCCTCCGCCTGGGCTCGCACCGTCGGGACCTGGCCTTATGTCGGGCCTGTCCCCCTACAGGGGGATTTTCGACGAAAAATGAAAAATACCACAAGAATAGTCAAACAATAAGCAAACAATACTCCAGGGACTATTTTTACCCAACAGCGAAGACTGATAGGTTTCTAGTGGGGTCAAAAGAGAGCATCTCGACTCCCCAGGGGGGTCCGGGCAGGATCCGGGGAGAAGCCGCGGAAGTCGTTTTACGCAAACAGTTACACACTTCGTGGTCTTCGAGGTCCCAGAACTCCATTCCCGGGCCACATTCTGAATGCCCGGAGCCAACTGTAGGCCAATTCGTGGTCTTCGAGTTCCCAGAAGTCCATTCCTGGGCATGATTTTGAATGCCTGGAGCCAACTGTAGGCCACTTCGTGGTCTTCGAGTTTCCAGAACTCCATGCCTGGGCATGATTTTGAATGCCCGGAGCCAACTGTAGGCCACTTCGTGTTCTTCGAGTTCCCAGAAGTCCACTCCTGGGCATGATTTTGAATGCCTGGAGCCAACTGTAGGCCACTTCGTGTTCTTCGAGTTCCCAGAATTCCATTCCTGGGCATGATTTTGAATGCCCGGAGCCAACTGCAGGCAACTTCGTGTTCTTCGAGATCCCAGAAATCATTCCCCGGCCACATTTTGAATGCTGAGGCAGGCTGAGGCTGAGGCTGCGGCAGGCTGAGGCTGAGACAGGCTGAGGCTCAGGCCGAGGCTGAAGGCAGACTGAGGCTGAGACTGAAGCAGGCTGAGGCTGAGGCTGAGGCTGAGGCTGATGCAGGCTGATGCTCAGGCAGGCTAAGGCTGAGGCTCAGGCTAATGCAGGCTGAGGCTGAGGCATGCTGAGGCTGAGGCCGAGGCTGAAGGCAGACTGAGGCTGAGGCTGAAGCAGGCTGAGGCTGAGGCTGAGGCAGGCTGAGGCTGAGGCTGAGGCAGGCTGATGCTGAGGCAGGCTGAGGCTGAGGCTGAGGCTGATGCAGGCTGAGGCTGAGGCAGGCTGAGGCTGAGGCCGGCTGAGGACTGAGGCAGGCTGAGGCTGAGGCTGAGGCTGAGGCTGAGGCTGAGGCAGGCTGAGGCTGAGGCAGGCTGAGGCTGAGGCTGAGGCAGGCTGAGGCTGAGGCAGGCTGATGCTGAGGCCGAGGCCGAGGCTGAGGCCGAGGCTCAAGGCTGAGGCTGAGGCTGCAGGCTGAGGCTGAGGCAGGCTGAGGCTGAGGCTGAGGCTGAGGCTGATGCTGAGGCAGGCTGAGGCTGAGGCTGAGGCTGATGCAGTCTGAGGCTGAGGCAGGCTGAGGCTGAGGCCGAGGCTGAAGGCAGACTGAGGCTGAGGCTGAAGCAGGCTGAGGCCGAGGCAGGCTGAGGCTGAGGCTGAGGCAGGCTGAGGCTGAGGCAGGCTGAGGCTGAGGCTGAGGCTGATGCAGGGTGAGGCTCAGGCAGGCTGAGGCTGAGGCCGAGGCTGAAGGCAGACTGAGGCTGAGACTGAAGCAGGTTGAGGCTGAGGCTGAGGCAAGCTGAGGCTGAGGCTGAGGCAGGCTGAGGCTGAGGCAGGCTGAGGCTGAGGCTGTGACTGCGACTGCCGTTGCCACTGCGACTGTCGTCTCGAATGCGACTGCGACTGCGAGAACAGCAGAATTCTACAACTGGATTCTCATATGAATCTTAAGGGGAATGCTTCCAGATATGCTTCTACACATCGCTGTTAGGTTGCTTTGCCGGGATAATTTAAGCATTGGTTTACCTTTTAGGGGTATTTTAGGGTTTCTCTTACATTCATTTTCCGTTGAAAATCCCCCTGTAGGGAGACACGCCCGACATAAACCTAGCCCCTCTTGAGATTTGGGGCCCCCCTCCGAGAGGCGTTTAGTGAAAACGACCTCGGGCCCCAACCTGGCGGGCGCAAGCCTGGAAAATAACGGCCACGGCGCCCTCTCGAGAACCGAAAACGGACAATTCACTAATCGACGTGTCACTGTTGGGGCCTCTGCCCACCCCCTCCGAGAGGCGCTCAGCTACGGCGCCCTGGGCGACCAGCGCGCCCTCGCGGAGGGGGTGCTGCGCAGGCCCGGGCTGCTGCTGCAGCTCTCGAGCAGCCGCGCCGGGCTGCCCGCCGCGCAGCGCCTGGCCCTGGTGGTCAAGGCACCGGGGGGAGCAGCGCCGCCGGGGCGTGTGTGGGCGCACGCGCTCGGAGGACTTGGCATCGCTCGGACGCGTGCATTTTTTCTTGGCGAGGGCCATCGAGGAGTACCTTTGAGCATTTGGCGCAACATGCACGCACGATTCCTCGAAACATGCACGGAGAAGGGACGGCCGAGCGATGGCGAGAGGAGCCAGAAGCTACCCATACACCGCTAGCTCTCGCTCGTGTTCGCGCTGTTGGGGCCCCCCCTGGGAGGCCCTCGTCGCCACCGCTGGACTCGCCTCGAGATTCTGGTCAGGACGCACCCTGGGAGAGGTCCTGGGAGCAGCGCTATCGGGACCTGCCGGTTCCCCAATTAGGCGTGGCTAAGGGGAGGGGTTCTTCTTTGGTAAAAGCTCGGTGCCTCGGGTGGCCACGTTGCCCGTTCCTCGTCGGGGGGTTCCCCGGGTTCATCGGGCTCCACGGGTTCCTCGCCCTCGGTGCCTCCGAATCTTACGTCGCCCGCTGCTCCGAGGTTCCCCTGGTTCCTCGGGTTCCCATGGGTTCCCCTGGTTCCCCAGGTTCTTCGGATGCAACTCCTGGGAGGTCAAATTCTGATTTTGCCCTGGTCCAAAGTCCTACTAAATCCGGCTTAATCCGGCTTAGTCTCGTTTAATCCGGCTTAGTCCCGCTTAATCCCGCTTAATCCGGCTTAATCCTGCTTAGTCCGAGGCCCACTCAGGCGTAACAGCTCCCAAATGGGGCTTAATCCTCCTTGATCTTTCCGACGAAAAACTCCCAGTAGTTGCCTCCTAGAGGCTCCCCGGGTTGCCGGGGTTCTTCCGGTTTCCCGGGCTCCTCGGCCCCGCCCCGTGTGCCTCGCATCCTTATGGTGCCTGTTGCAAGCAACATCCAAGGAGTGCCAGGCAGTGCCAAGCACTGCGCCCATGCAATGGTCGGTGCCTCGGGTGGCTGCGTTGCCCGTCCCTCGTCGGGGGTTCCCCGGGTTCCTCGGGTTCCACGGGTTCCTCGCCCTCGGTGCCTCCGAATCTTACGTTGCCCGCTGCTCCGAGGTTCCCCTGGCTCCTCGGGTTCCCAGGGGTTCCCCAGGTTCCCTGGGTTGCCGGGGCTCTCCAGGTTTCCCGGGCTCCTCGGCCCCGCCCCGTGCGCCTCGTATCCTTATGGTGCCTGTTGCAAGCAACGCCAAGGAGTGCCAGGCAGTGCCAAGCACTGCGCCCATGCAATATCCCTAAGGGCTTGTCGACTTTTCGCCAATCGACTTGTGAGAATCGAGCCAGATAAACCCAGGTAAATGCAGATAAATCGAGGTAAATCCAGGTAAATCTAGATACATCTGGGTAAATCCAGGTAAATCCAGAGATCTCCAGGGAAAGTTCGAGCACTTCGCGGCCGCTCCAGCGCGAGTCGAAGGACGGCAGAAGTCGTTAAGCCTTTAACGACAATAGGAGCCTTTCCCCGAATCGGGGTCGCGCCGGGTTCAATTCCCAAGTGTCGACCGGCGGCCCAGAATTGCCGGCGACTGCAAAAGAGGTATGGTTACGCCGGGGTGTGGGTTGCGATCGGCACCGCTGGGGCCTGGGGAGCACGACACTGTCCTCGTCGGGCCTCGGGGCGCGGCGGAGAGCTCAATCGAGGTCCCCGCCCGCCCCCCAGGGCGCCCCCATTGATCACCCCCCAGGGTTCAGCCACGCGCAGAAGGGGGTGAGGGGAGGGGGGAGGGCTTCTTAGAAGCACCCCTGCTGCTTAGAAGGCGCGGGCCTGATCTATAGATGTAAGGCCGGCGCCTTCTAAGAAGCAGCCTCCTTCTAAGAAGGCCTCCCCCCTCCCCCCACTCCCTTGTGCGCGCCGCCAAAGGGTGCCGGTTGCAAAACACACCCTCTGCAAGCCACACCCTCGGAGTCGCCGAAATTGGTTGATGTTGAACGCGATCTGACGTTTCGGAAACCGCCGATCGTTCAGGGCTGGACGATCCCCGCGGTATCAGAAATCAACGCCGAAGTCGGCATGACGCAAACCTGCCGTAGCGGTGGTCAGCGCTGATGGGGGCCAGCCAATCTAGGCTTCCCAGATGGGGTCAGAGTAGATGGGCTCGTTTGATCGCGACTTCTTGTCGATGCATCGCCGATGCGGCTCGATTTGGAGCGCCTTGTTCTCCAGGCCGACGGCGCCTATGCACCGCCGACGTCGCGGATGCATTGCCGATGCATCGGTGATGCATCGACGATGCGGCGTGATCCTCCGACCCCATCTGCTTCGACCCCATCTTGGAGGCCTCCAGCCAACCCCCTCCGGCTGCCCCGGCTTTGGGAGCCACGGGGGGCCGAGCCCCCCCGTCCTCGCCCTCCGCCGGCCCGGGTCTGGGAGCTGCTGAGCGTCCGGCGGGGTTTCTCGACGGGGGCCCTGGCCGACCTGGGCTTGGGCTGGCCGGGGTTGGTACGTCCCCGAGGCTGGACCTCTTTCTCCCTCCCTCCCTCTTCGTCCTCCTTGTCCTCCGCGTCCTCCCGTGGCACCACCGCGTCGTGAAACAATCGCAACGGCAGGTTAGTGGCTGTTTTCGGCCTCTGGGCATCCTCCAACGGGCCCCTGGACATCTTCCTCCTCTTCTCCTTCTCCCGAAGAAGAAAAAGAAGAACTGCATAAACCCAAATTTCTTGAGCTCTGCGTGGATGTCTTAGGATCGGCGCTGGGTCCCCTGGCGGCGCCTCCTGCGTCGCCCTTGGCGGGCTCCGCGCGCAAGGGAGGGGGTTCCAGCGCCTATCCCATGAAGTCCAAGCGGAGCTCCGACAGCTTATGTTCATGCAGTCGTTTCGTCTCTTCTTCTCCTCCTCCTCCTCCTCCTCCTCCCCCAGCTTGCTCGTGGCGTGCGTCCCCTTGGCCGCGGCCAGGCCAAAGCTGGCCCCTGCCGGCACGGCCGACGCCTCTCCCTGTAGCGGGGGCGACTGGTCTGGGATGGCGACGCGGATGCAGCCGACAGCCTGCCAGCAAAAGGCGGCGCTGCAGTTGGCCTATTATGTAGCCAAAGAAGTTCTACTCGGGCGCCAAGTAGGCAAGAGCAATCCAGTACGGTGAAGAAGTGGGCAAGAACAACACAGCACGGTGAACAATACAGTACGCAGCCAAAGCCAGCCAGCAAAAGACGGCGCTGCAACTGGCATATTCTCGGCATCGCTCGGACGTGTGCATTTTGTCTCGGCGAGAACCATCGAGGACCATCCTGGACCATCGAGCAAACAAATGCACGGGAAATGGACGTCCGAGCGACGGCAAGGTTGATGCAGTCCCCAAAGAAGTTCTACGCGGGCACCAAGTAGGCAAGAACAATGCAGCACTGTGAACAGTTGAAGGCAGTTCGGGGGCCAGGAAGCGAGGCACACCGGCGGCCGCAAGACAGGCATAACTGAACGGAGGCGATGGGGGTGGGAGGACAGGAGGAGGCGCGGAGGGGGGGGGTGGGGACTGGGTGGGGGGGGGTAAGGGAAGAGGATGTTTTGTTTGGGCGGGGGCGCGCCCGAGTCCCACCTGGCTGCCGCCCAGCTCTTCCGATGCCGCTGCTCCTCCCTGGCTCCTCCCGGCCCTGTGCCGGGCTCCCCTCGGCCCGCCAGGGGGGCCGGCTGCACGAGGAGGCTGTCGCGCAGCTCAGGACGCACCTGGAGGACTCGGGGACGACGCTCCTGCTCCAAACCTGTTGCTGCCGTCGCTCGAATAATAACAATGATAGTAATGATAAGAATAGTAGCAATACTAATAATATTAATGATATTACTAATAATAGTACTCACAATACTAAATACTGATAACAGTAGTAATACTATTAATAATAATAAGAATAAGAACAGCGACATAAACATTACCATTCGAAGGCCCATGCGGACCTTCGAATGCTTCTGTTCATTTAGCTTTTTCTTCCTCTAGTTGTGGCTTCCAGCGCATGGCGCCGCTGCGTGGTGCATGAAGATGGGCGTGAGTGAAGACTGCGCTGCTCTCCTGCCGCTGCCCTGTCGGCTCCCGGGAGGCCGACCCGGGGCGTTGGGCCAATTGCGCTCAGGTGTTGCGTCCTGGCCGACGGCAGCAGTGCGGACATAGCTTCCTTTATCGGGTGTGTTGGCTTATCCTACTCCCGCTGCCGTTGTTCGTCGTCGTCGTCGTCGTCTCTCCGCGTCTTCTTGCCACTCGTCGTCGTCGTCGCCCTCCTGCCTCATGCCCTTTCCTTCACTTCCCGTGTCTCCGCCACCTTGTCTTGTTCCCCTTCCTTTCATCCCTTCATCGAGGAGAAAAGAACCCCTAACCCTGACGTCATGGTGAAGACGTGGCCTCACTGGGCGGTTTGTCTTGGTTTGGTTTGGGCGGTTTGGTTTGGCAAATCTGCGGAAAAAAGACCCCCTATCCCTGATGTTTTCGGTCCTCCTGACTTAGGTCCCCTTCCACAGGGCTAGGGCTCCTTGTTTGGGCGAATCCCCTCCTGCTCCCCTTCCCCTCCTCTCTTCCCGCCGTTTCCCCGTGGAGGGTGGGGCTGCGGGCGCGCGGACGTCGGCCGGCGCCCGGCTCGGCCAGGAGGTGCAGCGCACGGGCAGCCCCTCCAAGGCCGAGCCGCAGCTGCGGCAGCTGCTCTGGCAGCTCTGGCAGCCGCCGCTGCCGCCTGGCTTCGAGGTGCCCGAGGATTGCCAGCCTGGAACATATCCCTATCCCTGTGCTGGGCACCTCCTCATCACGATGCCAATCTTAGGGATTCCCTTATTTTTTGAGGGCGAATCCCTAAGATTGCCATCGCCTTTTGGCGTGTCAATCTTAGGGGTAGGGATACGTTCGAGGCTGGTAAGAGGAGGTCGCGGTGGCCATGGCCCTGGCGCCGGCGCTGCCGCCGACCTCCACCGCTGGTGGGGCTGGGCTCTGCAGTGGAGACTCATGCCAAGATCTTGGCATCGCTCGGACGTGTGTATTTTTCTTTCGGCGAGGACCATCAGGGAGCATCCTTGATCATTTGACGAAAAAACCACGCACGAAGCCGAAAAAAGCACAGGGAATGGACGTCCGAGCGATGGCCAGAGAAGCACCCTGCTTGCCTCCAGGGTGCCCTGGGCCTCTTGGGTTTCGATGGCTTTGCAACGGAGAGCCTGGCGTTCCCACACCACAGATGGATGGACGTCCTGGGGTCTCACGGTTGGGTTCCTTGCGGAAGGTCTCTTGTGGGGACTGGCCTCCACTGTATCACACCTTGGAAGGGGCCGCCTTGGTGCCGGTGGCGGGAGGTGGCCCCTCATGCGTCCAGAGCCTGCCCCCAAAGGGGCAGTGAAGGAGGGGGGTCAGCAAGGACGGTGTGACGACGGCGACGACGACGACGACGACAACGATGGTGATGGTGATGATGATGGTGATGATGATGATGATGATGATGATGCTGATGATGATGATGATGATGATGATGATGAGGATGAGGATGAGGATGATGCTGATGCTGATGCTGATGCTGATGCTGATGCAGATACTGATGCTGATGCTGATGCTGATGCTGATGCTGATGCTGATACTGTTGATGATGATAATGATGATAATGATGATGCTGGCTGTGATGATGATGCTGATGTGGAGCATGATCGGGAACACCAGCAACGGTAGCAGGACGGGGAGATGGAGGATTGATCAGGGACCAGAGTAAACCCAGCGCGCATCGCTTCTGTTGCAATACGCCGTTCTAGAATACCAGAGAGTATCTGCGTTTCGAGGCGAGGCCTCGAGCTCGAAAGGGTACTGCCCTCCACCAGTGTCCGGGTTGAAAGTTCTAGGAGTATTCGTAAGGTGCGGGGCATTGCCATGCGATGCTTAGACTTTGACAACGAGTCGTCGTCTGCGCGTGTATTCGTTGAGGAGTTTGATTTTTAGGTTCGGGACTTGTGGAGAAGCAGGAGGTGGTAGCTACGTTTTGTAAGAGGTGCTCCCTCCTTCGCGCATTGTTCTGAGATTGCAGTCGTCAAGATCGTAGTTGTGCAGAACTCTTCAGCGAAGGTTGCACGTTGGGAAGGTATTGCCATCCACCCACCCTGATGGTTCGAGATCCTGCGCGGTGGCCTCGTACACGGCGAGAGGTTGAGAGGCGAGGGGGTGAGTGGGTTCGAAAGCCTGCCTATGGCTACCCGCGCAGCTACGGGATATGCTAAGCCCTACGATCATGCCTTGCGACACGCGCCTCGGCGAAACGCCCAGACCGCCCTACCGCCAGGTCTGACGGCGCCACAAGGAGCTAGCATTAATCGGGGAAACGTAAGACCCGAGTAAGCTGGAACTCGGGTTTGCCGAGTTTGTTTGACGAGCGCGTCTTGGATTTTGACGGTCCCGTTTTCGTGGGATGTTTGCAGCGGGAGCCCGCGTCAAAATTCAGAGTGGGTCTCGCCATTTTTATGATGGCCCCAGTCGGGCCAACCCGAGTCCCCCGTACCCGAGTCTTACGTCTCCCCGAATTAAGTCGGGCATGTCCTTCTACAGGAGGAATATTCAAAACCAGTCAACAGACAGTCGGGGGACGACTTTTGGAGCAGTCTTGATCATGTTTGGGCATTTCTCGTAGCAGGTTCCATGCTTCTTACTAACATCCCCCCTCCCTCTGCCCGCCAGCCACTTCGCTGGTGAGTGCCCCTTTCTGGCTTCTCGCGGGAGCGGAGCTCGCCGCCTCGCCGCTGACGAAAAAAGATGTCTCTTCCAGCATCCGCCTGCGCAGCCGGCCCAGATCAGTAACGTCGGCCCTGCCAAATCAAGGGTGCCCTTTGTGCCCTGTGCCTCGCGACCCATGCTTCCTACAGTCGGGGTCCTGAAGAAGGAACCCTTTTCGTTGGGGAGGGGCTTGATGTTCCTTAATTGTTTCGCAGCTTGCCTTGGGTTTTCCTTAGGTTTTCGACAGGCAATCGAAGTTCAACTTCTGGAGAAAAGGGGCCTCGTTCCTTATTTAGGGTTCAGGTCAACGCCCCGACTGTACAGTCCTGTGGCAGTGCGGCCCTCGGAGGGGTCTCGTGTCCTCCCGCGTGTCCTGTCCAGTCGAGTCCGCCTGTAGGAGGACACTCCCGACCGAAAGCTGGCAGGACGGAAAGGGTGCGGCAATTACTGCACGGAGGCCGACGGTCGAGCTCTCGACGGGCCATCGACTTACTGCCCAAAAGTGGTCAGCCCATCCCAGGCATTATTGTTGGGCAGGCCCTCCTCCTCCTTCTACTCGCCTCCTCCTTCCTCCTCCTCCTCCCTCCTCCTCCTCTTCCTCCTCCTCCTCCTCCTCCTCCTCCTCCTCCTCCTCCTCCTCCTCCTCCTCCCCCATTCCTCCTCTTCCTCCTCCTCCTCCTCCTCTTCCTCCTCCTCCTCCTCCTCCTCCTCCTCCTCCTCCTCCTCCTCCTCCTCCTCCTCCTCCTCCTCCCTCATTCCTCCTCCTCCTACTCCCCCTCCTCCTCCTCCTCCTCCTCCTCCTCCTCCTCCTCCTCCTCCTCCTCCTCCTGCCGGGGAGGAGCCCTCCCCCATTCCTCCTTTGCCCCTTTCCCCCTCCCCCCCGCCCCCCCCCCCTTCCCCGCCCAGGTGGACGGGGCGCCCGTGGGCCGGGCGGCGCGCGCGGCCCAGCGCCGTGCCGCGCGCGCGGAGGCGGGAGAGTGGCGTGACCGGCTCCTCGCCGGGCGGCCCAGCGAGGCCTCGGGGCCGAGGTGCGCTGTGCGGGGCGGAGTGCTCTGGCCCGAGACGGGGCACGGCGTCCGACGCTGTCCATCGCGAGCCGCGCCGGGGAGCTCCCCTTCCGGGCGCGGAGCCCTGGGCTGCAGCCGCAGCTCGTGAGTCATGCCTGGCGTTTCCGCTCCGAGCCCCATCGGGCTCTCTCCCGGGGGCCAAGGAGCTGGACCTCTCGGGGAAGGCAGGGGCCTCGCCCATCCCTTCGTCGTGCCAGTTGTGTATAAAGGTGTGTCTCTTGCTTGGACCTGGCAGCTGGATCATCTGTTTCTTTCTGGCCTGATCCAGCCCTTCAGATTTTGCTGCTGCTGCGCTGCCGCGCATGTCCGCCACCTCTCTTCGGGGTGGTGGGGGTGGGGGCTGAATTTTCTGTGTGAAGTCAGTTTCTTGGTTGGAAGTCCCAAGCATCGAAACATGGGCGCAATACGTGCAGGAAGGATGCTGCGAGGGGGCCGAAGGACTGGTCTGACACACACCGACCGCAGCACAGCGCGATGGTGGATCTGTCTAGAAGGCGCTCGCATGGAGCGTCTTTGTAGTGATAGCTGCGCCTCCCCGTGGGCGGTCGACTGCCTCGCAGGTCGTTTCTCCTCGCGTCTCCTTCCCTTTTGGCTTCTCCCCTCCGACTACCCACCTCGGGCCGGACGAAAGGGGGGGATTGGGAAAGGGGGGGTTACGAAATTTGCTGCATGCAGCTGGTTTCGGCCCCGCCGAGGGGCCCATTCCTCGATACATAGCCGCCTCCGGCGCCGGGAGGCGCCGGGAAAATCAGCTACGCGAGCTGATTCTCAAACCTTCCCTTTGCTATCCCCCCCTTTCGCCCGACCCGACCACCCCTCAGGTCTTGGTCTCGAGAGGCTTGCAGCGCCAGCGTAGGGCAGCGGTGCGCAGCTCTCCGCTGCGCACGCTCTGTGCGGGGCCCGTGATCCAGCGGTCCGCTCCGGGAGCGCCCCGCCCGCCGATCGAGGATGCGTAACGGGGGGGTATCCCAAGGTGCGAGTTGGGGATCGCCTACAGGATTGATTCACCCCAAACGTGTTTTTCTTCAGCCACGCGCAGAGGGGGGTGGGGGAGGGGGGAGGGCTTCTGAGAAGCACCCCTGCTTCTTAGAAGGCGCGGGCCTTGTCTGTAGATGTGAGGCCGGCGCCTTCTAAGAAGCAGCCTGCTTCTCAGAACCCCCCCCCTCCCCCCACCCCCTTGTGCGCGCCGCCAATTTTCCGTCGAACCCATGAGAGAAGTTCCCAGAATAGTCCGCAGATCCACGGATCACTGGGGGTACCTGTCGTAGATGCGGCGGGGCACCCCTTCCGGGGCACACCGATGCTGTGGTCGATCCATCCCCTGCTCGGAAGGCGGGTTCGGGGAGCGCAGTCCGCCCGAGGTGGGTGCTCCCCCCCCCTCCAGGGGCCGCCCGGTGCGCTCCTCCTCTGGCCCCCGCCCCGCCGGTCCGCCCCACCTGGCCGCCGAGGGCTCTCTGGAGGCCGACGGGCAGCCGCGCAGGCTGCCTCCCGCGGTCCGTGGGCGGCAATTTGCGGCCAGGGCCGCCCTACGATCCGAGCCCATGCGCTTCGATGCGCCCGCCGGGGCCGCGATGCCACGACGATGCCATCAGGCTCTGTGCACCGGCATCGGCCAGGGCCAGCCGGAAGCGGGGCGCGGCGATTCGATGCCGATCCGATTCGGGGCGATTCGCTGGCGATTGGACCCGCTCTCGATCCGATCCTGTGTCGCGATCCGATCCAGCGCAGATCTGCAGACCGCCTCTCGCGGTCTGCGGGCGGGTTCGCAGCACGGGCGGGGTGCGTGTGTGGTCTTGCTGGGGTCGTGGCTTCTCAGAGCCATCTGGCTGCATTGCTCATGGTGTTCAGATTCGGCGGCGAGCGAGGGGGGGAAGCGAGAAGGAGAAGGCCTCCTCAGAAGGCAGCGGGGCTTCTCAGAAGCCCTCGCGCCTTTGAGGTTTTCTGTGTCTTTGGAGAAGGCTTCTAAAACTTCTCACAAGGCCGGGGGACTTCCGAGTCTTCTGAGAAGGCCCGCCCTTTCTCATTTCCCCCCCGCGCTCGACGCCAATAGACGCCCGTGTCTGAATGGTAGCACGTCCAGAAAATACGAACTCCAGGGCATTGAAGTTCTTTCTGGTCTACTTGATTTCCAGTAGAACTTGTCTGTCGAGTATAGCCCGAACGGAGTTGTAACTTTATCCCCACGTCACCAAAGCTCGATCTCCTGGGGATGCTGCATTTCAATTTTAGATTAGCGCCAGGAGTCGCCATGCTTCTGTAGCGATGCTGGCCGTTGTGGCACCGCGTGTCGCCTCATGATCGCGAGACAGGCTTCCTTGACATCAGCGTTTGTGCTGATGCCACAAGCGCAATATCCCTTGTGCATAGACGGAGCACCTTCTGCCCACGACCTGCGCCTAGACCTCGTCTCGCATCGAGCAGTTGTGCACGCCACCGCCCCCGCGCGCCCTGTAAATACGAGTGTGGATACCGCGTGCGCGAATTCGCGGCCCGCCGATTCTGGCCCCCGCCGCCGCTCCGGACTCGAGGAGTCTCGAGAAATCGGCCTGCTCCCTCCCTCCCCTCTGCACCCCTCGGGGGCGGAAAAGAGGGGGGTGCTGACTAGGAGGGGGGGGGGGGGGATATCATGGCGGGGGCCATGATATTTCCCCAGATTTCATGGCGCCTCTTCTCATTTCATTACGTCCCTGGCCCCCCCGCTGGGCCGCGCACATGCCGCCGGTCATGATTTGCACCCCCCCCTCTTGGACACCCCCCTCTTTGCCGCTCCCGACACCCCCTCTGCCCCAGATGCCCGCCCAAATGTGTTTGTTCGATCCACGGACCCAGAGGTCCGGCCCCATGCCTGGGGTTCGTTGTTTCGCCCCGGATCCATTTCTTGCGGCCCCAGCGCCAGAAAAACGGCCCCCAGAGGCCGCAATCGCTGCAGCCGCGCCAGTTTGGGCAAAAATCGTATCGTCGCGTCCCTGGGGGTAGCTTTCCACCCCGGATCCATCTCTGGTTGCCCCAGCGCCCCAAAACTGTCCCCGGAGGCCGCAGTCGTTGCAACCACGCTGGTGGAACAAAAATCGCCTCGTCGGATCCCTTGGGGTAGTTTTTCACCCCAGATCCACCTCTTGTGGCCCAAGCGCCCGAAAACTTTTCGCGGAGGCCGCAACCGTTGCAACCGCGCTCCAGGGGGGGCCGACCTGGCCTTCCTGGGGAAAGCCGGCAGCGTCTGAAGACTTTAATGCCGTGAGGAACGGGAAAAGGAGGAAGAGGAGGAGGAGGAGGAGGAGGAGGAGGAGGAGAAGGAGGAGGAGGAGGAGGCGTCCGCCAGGCCTGGTGGGAGGGCTGCCCTTCCACCTCCGTCTCGAGCCTCTTGAACCAGATAGGCTTGAGCCAAGATCGCTACGGGGGCTGAACAAAATCACGTCGGGTCCCCCGGGGTCGCTTTCCGCCTCGGATCCATCTCCGGTGTCCCACAGCGCCGGAAAAACAGCCCCCAGGGGCCTCCGTCGTTGCCACCGCGCCGCCTGAACATACTTCGGCGATTGCAATGGGTGCGGTTACGCCGGGGTGCGGTTTGCGAGTTGCTTTGTGACGGCCTTTTCCGGGGCCTCTGTGAGAGACAGTGTCATAACTGTCGTCGTTTCGAGCGGCACTGTCATCCTCGATGTGTGCTCCAGTGTGTTAGAAGGAGCGACGGTGTCATGTGACTCGGTCGCATTGACTGACAGTGTCATCCGTCTCCCGGGGGCGGGAAGGGCAAACCGCACCCTTCGCAAACCGCACCCATTGCAGTCGCCGAGTAATCATACCGTCGCTTTTCCAGAGGTCGTCTTTCGCCCCGCCCTAGTTCCATCTCTGGTGGCGGAAACGGTTTTTCCAGAAACCACAGTCGTTGCAACCGCACTGGTTGAACAAAAGCCACCTAGACGCTAAGAATGCGCCAAAATCAACACACTTGCTTTTAAGATCAACGAGATCAAAGCAACTGGCTGGATGCACGCCAACGAGTTACACTTACTGTTTAGCTCCATCACGTGAAAGAGCGATCTTATGTAAAAGCAATGTTGGTTGTGCGTAGCTTTCAGACAAAAGCCTTGAACACATGATGTAAACATGCGGGTCTGTCCGACGAGCTCTTTCGACGCGGATTGCGGATCTCCGACGAGCTGTTAGCGGATGCGTTGGTAACGCTTCGATTCTGATTTCGTTGATTTGGTCCGATCTAGCAAGTGACTCTCCTTGCTCTCAGTCTCTGGGGCCCTCAGACACCACAATTGTCAACGCCAACTCGAGACGAATGCACGCGGCGCTCAGGGAAGAGCCAACCTTTGAAAGGGACACAAAGCACTGTTGTTGGCGTGTACGCACATACGTACACACATAGCCGTTTTGGTTGGGCATGACACGCGAGCGGTTTCGGACCAAAGGCGCAGATGTCAACGTATATCGCATTTCTGAACTGTTAGCAGAGACTGTCCCAGCGTCCGGGTGCAAGTCTGGGAAAGTTTTCACTGCAAAGAACATCACGAAAGTTGGTACAACATCAGATAGGGATTCCATGAGGACCCAACGCGACGCACTCGCAGCAATTCTCGACGAGATTGACGACCGCATCCCGAAACATAAGTTATGGGAGCGCGGAGCGCTAAAAAATGTGCATCCGATGGGGCGGACTTATCCGACCGTGCTATTGAGGGATATGTATATCATGGGCGCGTGATGTTCATGAGCCTGCTGGCGTGCAAATGGAATTGTCTCCAGCCTCCCACACTTGTCGCTTCCCTCAGTACCCTCACCGACCGAACGCAAGTCGATTGTCAGGCCGACCTCAGGCCGATGGGAAGATGGAGATTGGCGAGGCTTCGGATGATGCCGCCGACAAGCACGCTGATGAGGATGTACAGAGTGTGCTGGCCGAAAAACAACAG